TAAAAAAACTTATCTTTTAAAAAAAAAGATAAACAAGATGCCAAGTCCATGCGCCATGTGAAAAAGTGTTAAACAAAAAAGTATTTTTAAGTAAAAAAATCTATCAATTGACAAAAATTTATGTTCTAAAATTAATATCTCTACAAAAAGTAATGTCCAATTATTGCGCGAATAAATAAACATTTTTATAAAAAATTAAAATTTAAAAACTTATGCAAATTTAAAATTAATATAAAATAAAAAGAAATAAAAAAATTTTAGTTAAAAAAACTGGGCGCGCTGCAATGAGTTTAAAAGTAACAATTTAATTTTAATATCATTAGAATATTATTTAGCAGCGCGCCCAGTTTTTTTAACTAAAATTTTTTTATTTCTTTTTATTTTATATTAATTTTAAATTTGCATAAGTTTTTAAATTTTAATTTTTTATAAAAATGTTTATTTATTCGCGCAATAATTGGACATTACTTTTTGTAGAGATATTAATTTTAGAACATAAATTTTTGTCAATTGATAGATTTTTTTACTTAAAAATACTTTTTTGTTTAACACTTTTTCACATGGCGCATGGACTTGGCATCTTGTTTATCTTTTTTTTTAAAAGATAAGTTTTTTTATGGTACAATTCTACATTTGCAAATTTAAATTTTTATTGATTCATTATACGACTCTATATATGTCTGCAACTTTAATTTTCCACTGGTACAAGTTTCTACTTTCACTTGGCGCAATTTTTTTTTTATTTCATTACTTTTGTTACGATTGTACATGGGTTTATAATCGATAATTTTTCATACAATTCTATTGTACATGGGTTTGCAATGGATAATTTTTGTTAATGGCGTGCCCTTAACTGGTCGCCTTTTTTTACCTTTTTTTAAAGGTGAGTTTTTAGAGATTATATCATTCATTTTTGTATATGATAAGCATCTTTAAATAAATAAGCAAATTCAATTTTTCTGGCATTTTCTTATTTTAGGTACATATATATCCAATAATTAATATACAAAATTAAATATTATTCATCACACAATTTGTATCAAAATAATATATTTTTAAAAATTTATTTTAAATTTATTTAATCATTTTTATCATTGTGATTGTAGTGGCAAGGATTTTATTGCTCAGTGTCATTGCAAGCATCTGGCCTGTATATACCATAATATATTGTGTAATACATTGGCTAAGTATGACAATATGGATTTTGATAGATTCCCATGGAATATTGGAATTTTGTCGGACTTGCAGTCATCCACCACATATGCAGCCTACAATTAAAGAACGCATTTATTCCATATTATTTGCTTCCGTTATTGGCATAGTGCACATTTTTATATATCTCAATGCTGTAGATAGCAAAACATTTTGAAAACATCTATCTTTCTATGTTATCTGCTTTTTTGAAAATATTGCAGCAAATTTATTATGGCAATATGCTTGTCCTCCTGCAGTTAAAGAGGCTTAGTACTTTAATATAATCTTTATTATTTGTATCATTTCCTTTTTCTTGGGAATTACAGCAATGCTTTTGTACTATATTGTCTTGCATCCCTCAAAAAGACAACATACTTCAAACGCACCAGTTCAAGCAATGTAACTTTGATATTTATTTACTTTAAAAAATGAGAGATAAACTATACAATATGCAATTAACCTTATCTTATGACTTTTATAAATCTTATGATAAAATCTAACTCTCTCTTAATCTTTATTATGAAAAGAATCTCGGTATTATATGAAATAATTTCATTGTAATTAATAGTTTAACTTTCAAAAATTTTGCAAAATAAAATAACTCATACATTGTATTTCTACCATATATATAAAAAAAAGATAGGTAAATATAAATAAATAAATATATATTTATGATATACAATAAATAAATATATATTTATATATATATATATATATATATATATATATATAAAATGTTGGATTTTTATTATATATATATAATTTTAAAAAATCTTTTTTATATGCTATTGAATTTTAATACATACAATTTTGATTATATGTATTTTAATTGATTATATTTATAAGTATTTTTATATTATCTTAAAAAGACTGCATAGAATTATTTGTGCGACACTCTTATATGTATGTATAATTAATAGGGACCAACTACACATTTTTTTTCCACTGAATAAAAACAATCTCAATATTAAAATTAAATTATAAAAAAGATACTGTGATATTTTATTGATGAGAAATGTACATTTATAATTGTATTAAATACAAAAATAAACATGCCATGAATTACTATATATACATATTTTCATAATTATCAAACTTAAAAATATAATATTGTTACCAAAGAAGAAAGCACTATTTAAAAACTCTAAAAGTTCATAATTTGTTAAATTAGTAATTAAATACTGCATTTTGTATAATTTTTAAGCTTTATTCTTTTATTTTTTTTTATTTAATTGAATAGATATTAACATCCAATGTAGCATACAGATTAAATTAACAACCAAAAAAATAAATCTTAACTTTGAAATATATTTTTGTTTCTTTTAAATATCAATCAACTGGATTTTGTACTACTATTAATATGAATTCTTTATCTGGTGCCATCATAATTTTATGTTTTTTGCTACGTATGCGCAAGAAAGTTAAATCATTTGTTGGATTCAAGTCACGTACGACAGAACGAGCTTTATCTGACAATTGACTTATCAAACCTGCGTATTGAACTGTTGTCGTATTATCTAATGTTGACTTTATAGGAATACCTAAAACAAATATAATTTTATAAATTTTTGTTTACAACTACAAGTAAATCATGTCAATGATCTCATGTAATACCTTCTGCATTCACCACTATTGTTCCAACTACCCTTTTATGAGACTGAATTTGTTTCATAGTTTCTTCAACCTCTTATAAATTATTTCATCGAAATTTATTAATAAAATTTTTATTTTAAATATTCCAATAACGGAAGCAAATCATATGGAATAAATGCGTTCTTTAATTGTAGGCTGCATATGTGGTGGATGACTGTAAGTCCGACAAAATTCCAATATTCCATGGGAATCTATCAAAATCTATATTGTCATACTTAGCCAATGTATTACACAATATATTATGGTATATACAGGCCAGATGCTTGCAATGACACTGAGCAATAAGATCCTTGCCACTACAATCACAATGATAAAAATGATTAAATAAATTTAAAAAAATATATTATTTTGATACAAAGTGTGTGATGAATAATATTTAATTTTGTATATTAATTATTGGATATATATGTACCTGCAATAAGAAAATGCCAGAAAAATTGTAAAATAGTTCCTATAGCACTGATATTAGATTTATCTTGTTAAGCTAATCGAATGCTGCGATGATAACTAGCCATTGCCCAACCCATGCTCACAAGTGAGCTGATAATGCTACCTGCTTGATGTACAACTGAAAAAAATATAGAAGCTAATTAAGAAAATTATTAAAAATATATGCATACTCATACATAGGCATTTATATAATTGAAATATTATTGAAATAATAGCAAAATATCTGATTTTGTATCACAGACTGTAAACTTGCACATAAATTATTATGACAATAAATTTGCAAATAATAACATTAAAATTGAATGTAAAAATTGAAATTGAAAATATCTAACCCCGCACGCTGTCAATATAGCGGAGGGCAACTATTATTAAAAATATATGCATACTCATACATAGGCATTTATATAATTGAAATATTATTGAAATATTATGACCATAAATTTGCAAATAATAACATTAAAATTGAATGTAAAAATTGAAATTGAAAATATCTAACCCCGCACGTTGATTGATTGAAAATATCTAACCCCGCACGCTGTCAATATAGCGGAGGGCAACTATCGCCGTCTGTTGTAAAACGTGCGAGATGGACATTTCCAATACATGCATCTATTTATGTGTTGTGTACGTGTGATATATGTGTGCGCATGTGTTGTATACGTGTGAATACGTGTAGCACGATACTACTATGTTTGCGTGGTCGATGATGACAATGATGACGGGGACGTTTCTTAAAAGAAATTTTTCATATTTCGACTTTGCATTTTTATATCTCTGCTTACAAATCACGTAGAGCAGAAATAAAGACACTTTTATTATATAATTCAAACTCAATCTATCGATTAAGTCTAGTATAAACTCGATTGCTTCAGCCGTTATTGAGAATTCGAAATATTATAAAGACTCAAATGTCCGACTCGCGTTAAGATACACGGTGTCTCGGCTACGTCCTTAACTGGTCGCGAGACACTACCGTGTCTCTTGATATTTTATCATGAAATTGCCGTCTTTCATAAGAAAATATATATTTTCCACAGAAAAAATCTCGGGTGTTATATATAATATAAAAAGTTATTTACCATTAGTATATTAAATTTTGACAGATAGCGAAACATACGCGATTATTAGGTTATTATAGAAATTCAGAGAGAGACAGAGAGAAGTGTGATATATAATTATGTATATCTCTCTCGAATGGGAGCATTTAATTAAGTGGTGGTGTTAATTAGGTTGACATTTTATATATAGCATACAAGATTAATGGCAAAAATTATTATAGTTTCACTAATATGATCAGTTAATCGTGATGCGATAAATTATAATAACTAATCTAATTAATTTATCACCAAGGTTATATTTGTGTTAATCTAGTGTAGATTACGCAATTATACACACACACACACACACACACAACTATAAAAATTACAAGAAAATGGTGGAAATGAAAAAAAATTCATTATAGATATTATAAAAAAAAAATTGTTCAATCATATATGGCGATAAATAAAGAAAAGTAATCACTTGCATCGTGAAAATTGAAAATCGTTTCTAACAAGATTAATTTTTCGATCTACGTATGTCGATTAATCATTTTATTCAAATGATGAATAAAATTACTAGTATATGCTTAAATTGGAATGATAAAATATTCGTAATAAGTGACGATCAATTTCCTTTGTAATAATCTTTTTATTTTCACACAGCACTCCCGCCATAGAATGCAAACCCGAGAACAGATCGACGGCACGAGGTCCCGGAGGACGACCAGCTCCACTTTTACGATCCAGAACTCTACCGGCCATTGTCGCGCCCGGTATCAATATACTTCAAGCTCAAATCGATGCACGTTACAATGGCAAGTATAAATAGCATCTTTTATTCTCTGCTGTCTTTTTTTCTTACACAGTTTTTCGTACGAATACTATTTGCGTATTATTGGCCGTCTTGATCCATTTCTCTTACAATAATGTTCCCTTTGTAACACTCCTGTGCTGCCTGCAGCTTTTCCTCTCTTCACGTTTCAAATATCCAGTTATCTCGAAATGTCTCTTTCATCTTTCCATTGCTAGTAATCCGCTTTTGATGCGCGAATACGATATTGCTCCTTACCATTGTTCTATCGTTCTGTATTCTTCCTCTCGCGTAATTTATATATGTATAAAAAGGATATATATATATATAGTGTTGAGATAAATTAATAATCGTCATATTTTGAAAATCCATATATATGTATATATAATATATACATATAAATATAATTTAGTCCTTTTTGCACGTTATTGATGCATCATCTCTCTATACTCTATACCATTGTAAGCATCAGATTTCATAACTGTATAAGTTACTTGTAAATTTCGACACATTCGTGCATAGACGAGAGATGCGATTACGTTCGAAAATAGCCATCTCACCATTTAATCATAGTCATCTTTCGCTCGCATTCAGCGGTAACAACGGGGATATCGGTCGTTCCACCCTCCAATACGGACAATACGACTTGCGCGAAGCGTGGAAGCACGGCTTCCCAAGGTACCAAGCTTCTTACGCCGAGAATATCCTTTACGGATGACACGATAGGTAAGGTACCAAGAATTTACTGCACAAGTCATATATAGAATGAACTGTCAAGTTTATATATTTCAGTCTCACAAGCCACCGCGCTTTAAAAGCTGACGTGTTCTCACACACTACTTTCGTATTCTTATACCGCTCCTTCTTCAAGTAAATGTTACATTTTTCCCTTTGTGCATGCGGATTATCTAACACAAGTAGATCATCTATTAGGATTGTCAATTTTTCGATTGAGACTATTGAAGCGATTTAGATAGCGAAGCTATCTATTATTATCCTCGTGTAATTCCCTTATTAATATAGAGTACAAGCATGCTTGTGTATGTGTAAAGACACAATTATTATTATTATTATTGCAAACTTATTGTAATGTTGAAAAACCTGAATAAAAGTTTCATTTAAATTATTGCAGAAAATGTAATAAGTTTCTAATTAGTATAATTTCTTGCAAATTTGTCGTTTCCTCATTATTCAAATAATTAGCACCGTCTTTTATTGTTTTCGACGAGATGTTTGCAAATTGCTAGAAATGCACTTTTTAATGTTTTAAATTTTAAACGTTAGAATTGAATTATTATACAAGTATCACGCTTTAATATCGAAAATCAATATCTTGTGTTTTATTCAAAAACATCATATTTTATGTTGGATATCTTTTCTTTCCGAGGAGAGATATTTTTCGGATGGTTGTGAAAATTGTCCAATAATATGTTTAAATGTTGAAAATAAACTGAGAATTGTCCAAAAATATTGAATAACGCTTGAAATATTGAATAACATCTTAAAAGTGTTTAATGTCGAAGAAACATTGCAAGCAATTGATGTGAGCAAAACTCGTTTGCTTGATACACGTGAATGATCACTGTGGCGCCTAGAGAATCACCAAAGGTGGACTTTACGCGAATATTGACCGTCGGGCAATCGGAATCTTTGATTGCGCGATCAATTCTTCATGTCGCTTTTCCTCTGTGACAGCACGCCGCGTCTCCGACTCCGGACCGGTGACCAGGGAATCCTCCAAGGAACACTCGGCAAGAAGCGGCAGGTTAAGTACCTCCAGCATCGGCGGTTCGCAACCACTCAACCGGCTTGCGAGACTCTTGAACCAGAGGCCGAGCTTCACCCCGAGCGATGAAATTCCACGGCGGCTCTCTTGGGAGAGGTATGTCGCCGAATTATATCGAATTATGTATCGTGCGTATTTTGTTGTAATATGCATTGTGCGTCAGGGTGTCCAGCAGACTCAATGAAAAAAATTCCCTGATTTTTTCAGATTTTCCAAGACCAGAAATTAATTTTTTCCCTCACTTTTTAGTATTATTTTTTCCAAATATATCATTTGCATATATCTATATGATAAATCAATAAAATGTTAAATCATCAAATCCTTGAGATATTTTTGTCAACGATGAAAAGATTCGGAAGTTGAAACTAAAATTTAAATCAATTATACAATCTGCATTATGTACGATAATCAAATTTTTTAATTTTGTCTCTATCAAACACATTATTGAAATAAAATAACACGACGATGAAAATATAAATTAACGAATACGCTGTAGATGAATCGATTTTTAACAACACAGAAAATTAGCGTGCTGGGAGTCAAAGAAAAGTTTATATTTATTTAAATAAAAAATTTCCAATTATTGAAACAAATGTAGAATATGTGAAAAAATCAAGATAAATAGTAAAATTTCCTGACTTTTCACTGACAATTCCAGATTTATGAAATTCCCTGACAATGCCCGATTTTCCAGATTTCTTTGCCCACTAGATACCCTGTTGATATAATTTGAAGCGATAAAGCGACTTTGAAATCAGGATATTCTGATAGCAAGCGAGCGAAAGGCACATCTTTTACATACAAGATCCATAAGAAATTTGTACATCGGTTAAAAATCTGTATAGAGCGAATATATGGAGCAAGCGTTAAGAAAGATTGGCTCTATCGACGCAAAGAGATATTAGTCGAAACCGATAGAATACGAAATTAGATGGAAAACCAATAGACAAACGTTAGTCTGGCGAAACTGCTTAATAATTGCATTCGACATTTGCTTTGCAAAGTGTTCTCGCCGAATTGAATTTTGAATTGGTCGTTGAATTGGCAAATAAAGTGCTGGAGAATCACTCAATTCTTTATTCAAGCACGCGAATGGATGGAAGCAAATTCGATTCTTTTTTTTGTAAACTCATATTTGATTCGTGAAACATGTTATAGCTAATGTTAGTGATCCCCTTGACTATGTCCACTTTATCATGTCGCCCTCATCGTTGTTTTCCCGGTCAAACGTCCTTCTCATTTTTCGTGTTACTCGTGTGATACGATCGAGCATTTATTTCGCGTAGCTATAGAAATATTAGGTGATTAAGAAATACTTTCACAATGACGTATATACATAAAATTCCTCATGTTGATTCGATTCTATCAGAAATTAGATTGCCATTTAGATAAATTATTTAGATAGTCTGAAAAAGCAGGGTCATTCTATAACCAATAATTTTGCTGAAAGTGACATTTATTATAAAATGACTTCTTTTTTTTCAACGCTATATTAAATTTATACACTTAATAAACGGGATACAGATTAGATGTAGCAAAAATGGTCATATATATATGATTCCTAAATTTTTTTAACAAAGCAAAGTATTAGCAGCCGTGTCGATTTTTCTCGTCAGAATCAATAAACGAAGTGTAGAATAATTTCGTAGTTAGTGATACCATTGTTACTATGTGAATGTGTTCTTATTGATCGTGCCGATGGATAGCGCTCTGATAGATTTCCTGCACATTATCTCGCTGTATAGGCAGTTTCGCGCAAATTAGAAAGCAATTTTCTTGAATACGTTTCTATTTTAAAAACGCCAATTTAATTTCCGCAGACAAGAGTACGTTGGTTGGTTCGAAAGCACCCTCGTTGGAATATTCAACGGGCACATTTATTATTATGCATCAGTGCCTTGAATCACCGAAATTGGGGCTCAGTTTAAAATACAAACGTCGCAAAGTTATCTTGAGAAGCGGCGATGTTTTGACTGCGTTCACGATTAAAGTAACAAGCTTCACTTCCATATTAGTTTTCGTCCCAGAGACAAAATTTTATTGCAATAAAGATTAAGCGCGGTTTATTCAGAGAGTTCCTTTATTCAGATATCACCTTTATTAAGTCTAGCTGATATTTATTATTAATTTTAAAATATGAATCTTGAACAATTCTAAGCATCTCCATAACAGCCCAAAATTAAATGACTATCTTAATAACATGCAACGTGTTATTAAATATAACTGAACTTTGGGTTTCGAGTCACAAAAGTTGCCACAATGTTGCAAAAACGCGGATATAGATCCTAGGCATCTAGGACATCCTATTGCGAGTAACATCTGGCGCCTTTATTATACTATAAACGCGTATGTGCCCTCGACGATATTAAATTACCGTCACCTCGACGGTGGTGGCTCGACTGGGAAACGCTTAAAACGAGGGAACGCATCCTGCATCAGTAGTTCGTGCGAACCGCACCCATGAAAATGCATCGATCGTTTCACTTACGATCCTCGCCATTACATCAACGCGTCATTATCGTGGAATTTCCTCTTTTCGTTGATATCAAAAGGAATTTGGCAAAGAGTACTTAATTTTTTTTTTCCATTATAGATTTTTCACGTAAAATATACAGGGTGTCCCAGAACTAATGGACAAGTTTTTAATGGCAGATTCCTGGTACCATTCGGAGACGATTTTTCCTCAGCGAAAATGTCGAAACATCAATAATTTTCGAATTATGAGCAGTTGAAAATAAAGGATTTTTGGAAACTAAGCCTTGTGGAAATAAAATATTAACAGAACTACATTCTTCAGTTAATTTTAGGTAGAGTTTGTTTTAATAGAATTTTAATATAAGACTTAGTTATACAGATACATAATAACAAAAATTAAGAACATGCTAAAAAATGATGGCCTCCCTCGACATTTTCACTAAGGAAAAATCATCTCGAAATGATACCAGGAATCTGTCATCAAAAACCCTTCCACCAGTTCTGGGACACCCTGTATATGATATAAAAAATATAAGTCAAAATTATGCTATAAATCAAATTTACAGAAAAAAGGAAATTTAAAAAATTCTCTCTCTCTCTCTCTTTTATATGGCAAAGTGATATTAATTGACAGACGAGAGTGCAGCACGACGAGTTCCTGTCTGCCAAGGAGCAGTTCGATTGACAGCGTGGCGGAATGGAGTTTGACAGGCGGAATAGGAACTGTCGCTGGAAATAACAGCAGCGTGAGTGCTGGTAGCAGTTATGGCCTATTTGTCGAGCATCCACCCTTGAGAAGAAGTCCGAGCCCGCTGTTGGGAGCGAGAGGTGACAGACTGAGTCTAGTGTCGCCTAGTGTCGGCAGAAGAGTTAAAGGATACAGAGCGGTAGTAGGTAAGTCAAATTATCAATTAATTATATTAATCGACGAAAAGGTACGCTGCTGATAATCATTTTCTTCGTTCCCGAGAGCAAAAGAGACCGGCGCAACATTTTTGCGCTTGAAATATTTTATCTCTTCTCTCGCTATAAATTATATAAATGTCTTCAAAGTTTTCAATTAAAATGAGCGTGAACGTTAATAAGAAGGTTAATTAATGAATTGCATGCCAGCGCCTAATCAAAAAGGTACTGCTGGCGCAATTTTCTGTAAATTATTAACCGAGCTGTAGCACAATTTCATGCTTGGACTGCAATATCTGTAAATTAGTTGCAAAAGCTCGCTCAGAGTAAAGTCCGAGATATATATATATATACAATATATATATCGGACGTTACTTCTGACAATGAGATATATATCTCTTACAACATACTTAGATATATATCAATCAAGTAAAAAAAGATTGGTGAGAGCTTCTTATTCATGTAATGAAGGCAGTAATAAATTTATTTGCAAAGAGTCATTATAGTCAAGCAAAGAGTCATAAAAGACGACATTAATAATCGCTTTATTTTGCCCTCATAAACGATAATAAAAAGTCTTGAAAATGAAATTTTATGAAAGGTGAAATTTAACTCGAAGAAATGATATACATTTAAAATATAAGAGTACATCCTTTTCCCCCTTCAATTTACTAATTAATAATATTAATGAAAAACAGATAGTTTTGTACTATTATATATATATCTGATTGTGAGAATCATATAAATTTCATCAGATTGCTTTACACGAAATTCTCGCTTCAGCGCAGATTTGATTAATCTATAAACGTACGGAGTTTACAACTGCTGCGGCAAATTGAGTTCAAGCAGTATAAATCTTCATTGCTTGTAATTTAATATATGTTCCAAGTTACAGCTTCTCGATAATCGTATAATAATATAACGGCAAAAGTTATAAATTTCAGTTATTCATTGGCTGAATATAATTTCACATGAAATAATCTAGTTTATATATATATGTATATATTGCAGCAAATAATATTTATATTTACAAAGTTAAATTACATTTTGGTACTCATGTATAAATAGTCGGGAAACATTTTCTATAAAATACACAAATAAATAGTTGCAAAAATATAAGAGAAATATTTATAATATTTCGTCTAAGAAAATATTTTATATGATGTTATATTACTTTTTTCAATATTTATTCGTAAACTGATTGCAATGCGGATTAAATGACAGTATATTGCAGGAAACTTAATACTGTACACTAACTAAGGGAAACTTGACTCGTTTAACAACTTGTATTTGATAAATTGGTAAAGTTTTGAAATGTATATTTTGGGGTTCTCTGTCATTATTGATACAAATAACAATAACATTAGAACGTAAAATGTAATATTTTAAACTTTGGGTCTAATTATGCGGCACATTTTAGTATAAAGGAAAATTGCGACTTTTTCGCAAGATGACACATTCTTCTAATCTACTGTGCAAAATATTTTTCATCGAATCTCTCGTACAAATCTTCCTAATTTTTTCAAAATAGTTTGGCGTTCAAGTTTATTTATAATCATTATTTATGGTAAAAGTATTTCTCGGAAACGTTCCATTCGATAACGGATAAGCTCAGAAAGTTTCAGTCACCAGAGACCTGCTGTGGCTTAAAGTTAAATTGCGAGAATATTGTTATCGAAATTCTGAACGCTTATATACACATATATATAGTAACTGCACCGCACTTGTAATTATCTTGATAAATTAGTGAAATTTGCATTTAAGATATTTTTCGGAATTTTAAAATAAATAAACAGTATTTCTTGCCAAATATCTATTTAGTAAAGATAATAACATTCTCTTAAACGTGAGTGTATTAAGGAAATCTTTGCATTAAAAGGATCCATTCAAGTTTTTAATAGCTTTTTGAGGAAGCCACACTGCGAAGCAATGTTTTGAATGGTAGAAAAAAAGGGGAAAAAAATCGGAGCAGGTTTTTTTGGAACAACACATTTCTTTCAAAAGAGTAATACCCGATATAAAGCTGGCGCAGCCTGCGGAGTGATGTTCCTGATTACAGCTTTGTATGTATCGGTTAGACGGTCGAAAGCAGCGAAAGCAGAAACCGCCTTGAGCGAAACGCGCGATATACCGTCCCGGACAGGTCTCTTCTCAGCCAATCGTTTTCCGCTTTGTTCGAGTCCACCTGCCCGACGAAGGAGAAAAGGTGTTTGCGTGAGTTACACGTCTCGACGACCTACACAGTTCGCGGTCGCGACCAACCTCGCGTACTTCGAAACTCTCGGCGAGAAAGATTCGCAATGGTGAACAAAGGACGAGAAATACATCCGCACGTGAACGGAGAACGAATGCGATTTCTCTAAATCGCAATTTAACGATCAGTGACATTTCATTAATCCTGGATACAACTTTCCGCGCAACGATCAAAATTCTCCACTTCCTCCCTCCTTTTTTTTTTGTTTAATCATATAGTTATATAATTCAGTATTCACAATAACGCATCGTTGTATGTACAAAGAAAATAATGGAATAAATCTCTCGCTTATTCCTCAACAACGAATATCGATACCGACGTAGGAGTCAATCTTATTAAAGGTCCGTCGTTCCTATATATAGCTGAAGTAATTAGTGAGGTGTAGTGAGTGAAACGATAAATCAATTTTGGTCCGACGAACGAAAAGTCGTCTGATGACGTGCTAAAACGATTTGACGACAAATAAAAAAAACTGTGTCAAATTGAAGAGGATAAAAAAATGTTGTGATACTCTCGACGAACCTGGAAGACTTCCGAATGGCTCGGAGCACCGCGGTGCTTCGAAAAAACGAATTATCCACGAGTATCGTCGATATTGTTAAAGCGTCGCGATCAATCGAGCCGGTCGTCGAATATGGCACACATTTCGAAAAAAGCATCAAGAGCTCCACGAGATTTGACCCGCGCCAGCGTTCGATAAAAATGGACGAGGAGGAAGGTGGAATTTGAGGGACACGTACGCGGAGGTGGAGGACCTCACGAATGCATCGTCGGGAATCGTCGCGCGGTTCTATAAACCGGTTTCTACATTCGGTGCAACGACGTGCAACGGCGCCGCCGGTGAGTTTTAACGAGAACGACACAAACGCTCTCAATCAATTCGATTACCAGCGCTAATTACGGACGGTAGTTTAACGCGAGATTCAATTTCGCTCTTCCTTTTCCAACCAAAGACACTCTGAGTCGCCTCGGCGACTAATCATATAGCTATATAATTCACAATAAAATTCATCATTATAATATATATGCATATATATATTAAGAAAATAATGGAATTCATCTCTCTTTAACTTAACAGCGATTAACCAGGGTGTCCAGCAGACTCAATGAAAAAAATTCCCTGACTTTTTCAGATGTTCCAAGACCAGAAATTAATTTTTTCCCTCACTTTTTAGTATTATTTTTTCCAAATATATAATTTGCATAGATCTATATGATAAATCAATTAAATGTTAAATCATGAAATTCTTGAGATAATTTGTCAACAATGAAAAGATTCAGAAGTTGAGACAAAAATTTAAATCAATTATACAATCTCCATTATGTACGTGTAGTATCGGGACTCCTCCATAACGCGTAAGTGGGTGATGCGAGAAGGTTAGGCAGAGGGCCTAGGTAGCTTAATGGTTAGAGCAGTCGCCCGGCAAGCGGAAGGTTCCGGGTTCGAGTCCCGGTCTAGTCACCCGAAGGCCCGATTCTTTTTCGCGGACCCACATTTGGGGGCTCGTCCGGGATGGAGGCAGGATTCGGTCTACACGAGGCAAAAACGAGTTAAGAGACGATTGCGGGTGTTGGCTGGGGGTGGGAAAGAGGCCCAAGAACCCAGTGGCACTAGCGCGTGGCGACATTCGAGGGCGAATGTCAATTCAGGACGGCCGAGTGTAGTATCGGGACTCCTCCATAACGCGTAAGTGGGTGATGCGAGAAGGTTAGGCAGAGGGCCTAGGTAGCTTAATGGTTAGAGCAGTCGCCCGGCAAGCGGAAGGTTCCGGGTTCGAGTCCCGGTCTAGTCACCCGAAGGCCCGATTCTTTTTCGCGGATCCCACATACGATAATCGAAATAAACTGTCACTATAAACTATTTAAATAATCACCTTTTTTTATTTATATCAAATTTTTTAATTTTGTCTCTATCAAACACATTGAAATAAAATAACTCGACGATGAAAATATAAATTAACGAACACGATTTTTAACGACACAGAAAATTAGCGTGCTGGAAGTCAAGGAAAAGTTTATATTTATTTAATAAAAAATTTCCAATTATTGAAACAAATGTAGAATAATGTGAAAAAATCCAGATAAATGGTAAAATTTCCTGACTTTTCCCTGATGACAATTCTAAAATAATTAATACGATGCAATGGACGAAACAACGTGATCAATTTCGGACAAGAATTTTGTTACAATGATCGAAAAATCGCGAATGACGTGCTAATAATGAAACCACAAATAACGCAGTGTTCCTGATTTGAATTTCTTGATCAGACAGATGATACATTATGCTCGAAAATAATGGAATAAATCTCTCTTTTTCTTAACAACGATTAACGATATCAACGTGGTTGGAATCGACCTTATTAAAAGTCAATACTTCTACAGGGTGTCTGACATGAGGGTTTCACACCAAAAATATACAAGATCTTGTTATTTACAGACAATTTTTCCTCAGCAAAAATATTGAGGCATCAATAATTTTCGAGTTATAAGCAATTGAAAATAAAGAATTTTTCACAAACTAAACCTTGTGGAATAAAATATTAACAAAACTACATTCTCCAATTAATTTCAAGTAGAGCTTACTTTAATAAAATTTTAATTTAAGATTTAGTTATAAAGATGCATAATGGCAAAAATTGAGAACATGCAAAAAATGATGGCCTCCCTCGACATTTTTGCCGAGGAAAAATCGTCTCCAAATAAAGAGATCTACTTGTATATTTTCGGTGTGACACTT